TAATCTTCATGTAGTCAATTATGCCACACACACACACACACACACACATATATATATATATATATATATATATATATAGACACACACACACACACACATATATGTGATCTCTTTATAATCACATGTATATATAAACAGGTGATACGATGCGCCAAGAAGGAGAATCGTCTGGTTCCTCGAGTACATTACTAGCCATCGGTACATTTGGAAACAATCTGAAAAATTCAGACATGGTCAACATTGAAGAAAGCTGTAACGAGGATGAAGACGTTGATCAAGAGTTGTTGCGACATTTACTGAACAATCAGGTTTCTCTTGATCCTAGTTTTTCTGGTCATCAATCAAATAATTACAATCCCACAACCGAGAAATTCTTGGCCATCTTGGAAGAAGAAGAAGAAGAAATCATCGTTGACTCGATAACTGATGCATCACAAGTCAAAGATGCTCTTCTCCGGAGGAGAGAGAAAGGGGCTCCCTCGGAAAACAGAGGAAACGCCATGTATAAGAAGTCTGTCTCCTTTCTTATTAAAAGGGCTCTTCTCTGTGGAGGTGGATTCGTACACAGTCCTGTAATAAATCCCGTACTAAAAGATCCATTTACAGATCTTACGTTGGATCACTCGAGAATGGAGAAGGTTAAGTTCTACGAACATTTGATGTGGTGTTGTTTCTTTATTTTCTCGTCCATTTCTAAGAAAATGTCGTACGTTTTCTGTTTATCGATCTACAGATATTGAGGACTATGCTTCGGAAGAAGAAATACCCTCAAAGACAGAGATACTTAGATATGCCTGGAAATGACAACGACGAAGACCAAGGACAGACGAGTAATGGAGAAACGGACTTGGAAAGTAAGTATATTATATATATAACATAAAATAAAACGGAAGAAGATATTGCTGCTTATGTTCATCAGTAGTTTGCAACAGAATCTAATAACTGTATCTATCTTCTGATCATATATTCCGGTCGTACTTTTCTTGAAAATCGGACTGAAAAATAAGAATTAGGTTCCAAAAGGCGTTAACTTGTTAATAATTATTTGATTAAGTGGAAAAACACAGGTGGTACTCAGGATCAGATGACCTTGCTCCAGCCAAACAAGGTAAAATCTAAGTCGTCAAGGTATTCGAGGCGGTGAATATCTGTGCTATCTTCTATTCATCAACATAAAACGTATTTATGACAAAGCTTGTACTAATAAGAACCAATAAAGAATCTCATTCTGCCATGTTTGAGGGATCATAATTCTGTAATTCTTCGAGCTGATATACAAGTTTATCCTAAATGGCAATTTACTACAATTTCAATAGGCCGAGTGATTGAGAGTTTAACATGTACCGGGAATATTAGCATAAACCGAATACTGCTTTATTTCTTAACCACAATCTGCTTACAAGAGCATACACACGTAGAGCACATATCATAGTACAAGATGCAAGATAGAAGATCATCAAACAGAGTCGAAGCTACCAAATCATTACACAAAAGATTCAACTAATAAGGAAGGAAAAAAAACACTTCTCTCGGAGAAGTAATGTGCTCGATTATACCCGCAAAGTAAGAATTATTCAGGGAAGGTGAGCATAGTGATGAGAGACTCGTACCCATTAAAGCGCGCAATGAGCTCAGAGCGTTTTGCCAGTTCAAAATCATCAAACTGGAACGCAGGTGCACAAGTGCATCCTACTAGAGAAAAGTGTTCTTCGGAATCCCTTGTGGCTCCTTTGACTGCTTTGCCGTCAGATGAAACTTCGATATCTTTAGTCGGAAATGCACCAAACCAAACATTAGGAGGCACTACGTACTGAATCACTTGGTTCTCAGCTAGTGGATCGGGTCCAAGGCATGTTAATTTAACACTCCCGTCTTTGTCATCTAGCTCCACCACCTTAGAGTTAAACATTATTGGCATCAAAAAACGATAAATTTACCAACTAGAGCAAAAAAAAAAAATATATCGTCTAATTTGTCAATTTACGCGTCTTGCAAGAGCGATGAATGATGAGAATATACCGTAAGAGGGTCTCCCAAGTAAAAATGCCAGGTTTCTGCGCATGGGATGCGGTGGAGGTGAGAAACGCTTCCGGAAGGTAACAAGAAGTAGATGCACGTACTAACGGGCCGATCGACCTTATCTGCGTGGGAGTTACAATCAAGAACGAGCAGAATTTAGAGATTATGAAAATACATATGCATATAAAAAAGAGTGCTGTATCAGAATTATTGCATAGAGTTCTTCCACAACCAAAGCAAGCTAATTGGATCCATACACGAATTGAAAATGACAGAGAACCCCTATTCAATTGATGGGATTGACGAAGATACATACAACATTCATATAATCAAACACGAATCCTTTGGCGCATTTCGACTACAGAACTTTCATTCAAACAAATCGTCGAACAGGTTGAATGCAATAGATCAATAAAAGCAAAATACCCTAAATTGAGGTGGGAGAAGCTTACATTGAGGTGGGAGATGGGATTTGGAGAGAATGACAGAGGAATCACGAAATGTTTCAGAGTAGAACCCGCCCTCTGGATGGGGTTTCAAATCCAACTTTTCCACAATTTGCGATTTTGTTGCTGTTCTTGAACCCATATTTTCGCTGATTACTCTCACGTTTCTTTGCTGGGCTCTCTCTCTCTCTAGATTTTTTTGACTATAATGAATAATCTGTCGGCTGCATCAAGGTAGGTGAGCAGTAATAAATAATAAATACGCATAAGAAAGAATAATTATTTAAAAGCAGAAATTATGATTGTTAGTTAAGTTAGTTTTACGTGCTTATTTTTAAAAGTTGGGGGTGTTCGCAAATATTCTGAAAAATGAACTTAAATAGAAAAAGCAGCGATATAGGTGCTCTTTAAAAAATAGCTTAAAGCAGATTATTTTAAAATAACAAAAGTAAAAGTTGATTTTGCAAACACCTGAAAACATATTATGACCAAAAAAAAGCTCATAATTGCTTTCAAAAAAGCTTTTACAAACACCACCTTAACCACATTTACAACTTTTTTTTTCATGAATAGTTTCATATGTATTGTCCAGAAATTAAAATATATCCTTTTTTTTTTTTTTTTGATAAATTACTTCCGGTAATGTGATTTGACGAAAAAGCCTCTTCTATTTGGATAATAACTATAACATACCCTTTAACTATGAAACTTTTTACAAAATCCACTTCATCTTATGATCAACGTAATCTTCTTTAGTTTGTACAAGTTTTGTACAAAAATTGTAACTTATGACGCACCACAGTCTAAACATTACCAGCCAAAAGAAATATCTATAATGGTTGATGTGTAAGAAGATTAATAGTTAAGGGGCGATTATAATTACTCAAACAAAATGGATTTTTTCGTAATTTAATATTACTTCAGAAGATGAAGTAGCCGTAATTTAATTTAAGTTTTTCTTAATATTGCAAACTTAATATGAACTATTTGTTTTTTCTTAATATCAAACTCAAAAGATAAATACAATAGCATTTCCACCATTGCAAGGTAATTAATTGGTTGCAATTTATAAGTTCTTTTTTTTCGTAGGCAACTTGAATGTAAGAGAAAGAAAATGACACCAAACATGGTACAGTCACACACAAGCTGCACATTAAAAAAAAAAAAAGAACAATCTTATGAAAGTCAACCATATGTTTAACTCTAATTCTACCCTTTCTTAAAAACTCTACACTCATTAAAAAATTAAAAAAATTAAAAAAGACAAGAAAAAATAAAATTAGGGTTCAACTATAGGGTCATTTTCTGTATCCCCTTTCTACAATACAATTTCTGTACACACTAAAAAAAACAAATATAATTCCATCAGAGAGCGTAGTAATCACATGACATCATCAATGGAAAAAAAATTAAAAAAATAAAAAACAATTTAATTTCCACATCCAATGAAGCCTCAAACGTGTACCTCCTCAATATGCCTTATAGCCTCCCTCATCTCGATCCGTTTCTCGTGATCGCTCTCCGTACACTCCGTTCCAATGTACAACATTTTCTCCATTTGTTCGAGCGAATCGGAGCCGTTGACAATCTCCGGATCGATAAGCTCCGATACCCTCCCCTCCGAGATCGCCTGGCCGGCCCATTGCACCACGTCGGTCCCGCCCTTTTGGTTGTTTAGATACTGCGACGGGAATTTCCCCGTCATGATTTCGAGAACCACTATCCCGAGGCAGTACACGTCGCTCTTCGGGGAGAGCTGCTGGAAGAGCACCGCCTCGGGGGATTTGTACGCGAAGAGCGCCTGGATGGACTGCGTGTTGCTGATTAGCGAGTAGAGCGCGTAGTCCGTTAGAAGGGGCTCGTAGTTTTGGGAGAGAAGGATGTTGCTCGATTTTAGGTTCCCGTGCGGGAGTTCGTAGTTTGCGAACTCCGTGTGGAGGAACCCCATCCCACGCGCCACCCCTTTTATGATTTTCAGGCGCGTCGGCCAGTTCAGTTCTGCATGGCCGATGCCACGATCGCCTGTTTCGGAACAAGAAATAAAATATTTTCATGGATATATATGTTTTAAGGGTTTATTGCATTTAGTACCCCTATATTATATCGAATTACTAAAACACTACGTGTGTTTATAGATATAGCAAAACCCATTTATAATGCATTTTTTATAGCCAAAATCCCCTAAAAAGTGAGTTTGTAGGGGTAATTTGCTAAGAAAATTGAATCATAGGGTTTTTTTTATTAATAAAGTAATATGGAGGGTTGTTTAATAATTAGATAACATATAGAGGTGTCGAATGCAATAATGTGGAGATAAGTTCAGTAGACATAAAAAAAAAAATCCGAATTATAAATATTAGCAGATTTCCCCGACTCAGTTTTATTAGTAAACTACCCCAAAAAATACATAATTTAATGGGTTTTCTGTTAAAAAAAATACATTATAGGGGTTGTTTTGGTAAATATGAGGAGTTTTTGACAATTAAAGTAGATATAGTAGAGCATATTGCAATTGAGTCCATATATATATAAGTACGTAAAGAAAAATTACCATGCAGAAGAAACAATAAGCTGCCTTTGGGGATGAACTCGGTGATGAGAAGCTTCTCTTCCTTCCGGTAATGGTAGGCCAGCGGCGGGAGAATATTCCGGTGGCGTATCCTCCCCAACCTACGAATCTCCGCCTCGAACGCGTCCTTGTTCAGCTTATTCATGTCCCTCATTCTCTTGACCACGACGGAAACCCCGTTCGCCATTATGGCTTTGTAGGCGGAACCCATGCCGCCGCTGCCGAGAACCTCCGCCGCCGCCTTCATCAAATCCGGCAGCCCGAATACTCCCTTCTCCTCGTTAATCACCACGAGGTCGTTGTTCGATTTCCCGCCCCCGGAGCCTCTTCTAGAAGAAGACTGGCTGCCGGGTTCGTTGTATCCGCCTCCGCCGCCGCCGCCGCCGCCGCCTCTCCGGGTGGAGCTGCCGCTCCGCTTGTTGCTGGAGGAGGAGGTGGGCATGTGCACCTGCACCACCTCGTCGAGATTCTCTTTCCCGAGCACCCTGAAATTCTCGTCCTCCTTCTTCGCCTTGAAAAGTATCGTCACCAGCAGAACCCCCACAACCACGGCGAGTATGACCCATTTAGTGACGGAACCCGACCCGTCGGGTTGGCCGGCGTTCTTCTCCGGCGCCACGCAGTCCTTGGAAACGACGGTGCCGCAGAGGTCGGGGTTTCCGTCGAACGCTTTCGCCGGAAACCTCGACATTCCCTCAGGGATCTCTCCCTGCAGCTTGTTTCCCGACAGGTCGATTGTCTGAAGGGATTTCTGCCCGAATACCGGCACCGGCCCGGAGAATTCGTTCTGCTGAAGAAAAAGTTCCATCAGATTATCAAGTCTGGTCAACGAGCCCGGAATGGTGCCGGAGAATTTATTTCTGGAGAGATGGAGCTTTTTCAGGGATCCCATTTTGTCGAAAAAGTCCTGTGGGATCTCGCCGGAGAACTGGTTCCCGGAGAGGAACAGCGATTTCAACGAACCCAAGCGGTTGAACTCCGGCAATACGCCGGAGAAGGTGTTGTTCTCGAGGCTGATGATACGGAGGGACTCCAGGTTTCCTAACGCGTCCATGTCAAGATCTCCGCCGTCGCCGGAGAGGCCGAGGTTCATAAGCAGCAAGGCGGAGACGGATTTGAAGGCGGTATCGCTGCAATCGACGCCCTCCCAGGGTTTCTTGGGGTCGCATGGATTGGTGTCTTTGATCCAGGTGGAATCGAGGGAGATGGGATCTTTTAAAGATTCTTTGAATTCCAGAAGGTGGATGTCTTCGCCGATGGAGAGAGAAGGGGTGGTGAGGAGAGAGAAAATGAAGAGGAGGAGGAGGAGGAGGCGAACAGCGGCCATGTTCGCCGCCGTTGTTTTCTGATGGTGTGGTGGTGTCGGAGAAGAAACAACAGCTGCCGCTGTTCGGAGAGAATAATGGAATTCTCTGATTTCTTTTTTCTTGTGTATTTTTTTGGCTTGTTTTCTGATTGGAATGATGTGTCATCATTTCTGTGGGGTTTCTTTTTTTTTTCCTTTTTCTTTTTTTTTTTTTTTTTTTTTTTTAATTTTTTTTAGGTTTTACTGATGGTTTGAGTTGATCATTAATATGTATTGGTGCATGCCAAGGAAGCAGATGGATTAGGGCCACTCATTTTTAAATTAGTATATTATGTCATATATATATGTGGCGGACTCTAAGGTCAAACCACACATACGGTCAATATTCCTAATTAAATACATATAATTAAAAACCCAATTTTAATTTTAATTTCTTTTCTCTATAAGTATGCTCATATATTACGGTTCTGATGGGGTCAATTTGTTTTCTGGAGATCGGAATCGGGGAAGGTGTTCGAAAAGCCCGAGAAAACTAGCCTAAAACATAAAGTAAAGTAGGCCACATGGAATTTTATAGAAATGCGTAGAAAGTTATAATTGTATTGTAGAGATTTCTGCAAATTAAAGTTGTTGCCAAATTTTGCAATATTTGATAAAAGAAACTTAAAAATGATCATAGTGAAAGACTTGCATTTATATTAGAAGGTCAACTAATCCACTAATCCTTCTAAAAAAGAAAAATAGAATAAAACTAATCCATCATTCTCAATTTAGCAACAACCTCCTGTATGAACTAATAAACTTGTGAAATGATTTTTTTAGCTTAAATTATCATCATCCCACGATATAAGGTCAAATTACGAAATAAAACCCTAATGTGTGAATAATTACAATCACTCATTTAACTATGAATTTTTTTATAAGTTCATCCTTGCGGTGTCAAATTTAGTGGAACTTTCTAGATTTTATGAAATATTTTCCAGTTTGGTATTCGTTTATCCCATTCGAGCTTCACGTTTTGAAACAACATGATCATAAGATGTGTCGATTGGCGTGTAGATATTGATTATAGTGCATCAAAAACTGAAGAACATTCCAGGAAATTTTGAAGATTCCGTTGAATTTAACACCATAAGGGTGAACATGCAAGAAGATTCATAGTTGAGGGGCTTTTTTATAATTTTACATTACCTCAGGGGTTGGCCGTAATATATCCTTTTTTTAATTATTAAATAGTATTTTGGGAAAAAGAAAAAATAAAATAAGGGAAGGCACCTACTCTGCAACAAACTCCGGCGATTGGAAGAAGAACCCATCACCATCACTTACCTTGCAATGTACTCTACCATCTCCATCTCTCCAACAAATCCACTGCATTTTTTTGTGATTGATCGCCACCCTCCACCTTCTTTTTTCCAGCAATTACCATTCCTTAACCCCATCAAAATTATTCTTTATTTTTCTTACAATACACACAACACTGTTCTTCGATCGATTCACATCTTTCATATGCATCCGCCCCACCTTAAATAACCCAAAAAAATCCCCACCGGAAACTAAGTAATTCAATGGTGGAAACGGTAGCGCCGCCTAATGTCGACCACCACCACCACCGCCGCCGCTGGATCCCTTCCGCCGTCGCTTTCTTATCGGCCCATAAGACCCTGTTAATTTCTTTCTGGACGGTTTTCCTTTTCACCGTCTTTTACTGGCAGCGGGACGCCGCCCCGCGCGGGCTCTTGATTCTCCGGCGGGCTTTCGCTTCGCCGCCGCCGCCGCGGCAGCTGCCGAAGCTCCGGCCCGTGTCGTTCAACTTGACTGACTTTGGAGGGGTGGGGGATGGGTCGACTCTCAACACGGCGGCGTTTGAGAGGGCGGTGTCGGCGATTTCGAAGCTGGGGAAAAAAGGGGGCGGCCAGCTCAATGTTCCTCCGGGCAATTGGCTAACGGCGCCGTTTAATCTCACCAGTCACATGACTCTGTTTCTCGCCGAAGGTGCTGTCATCATCGGAATTGACGTGAGTACCCTTCTTTCATTTTACTAATTTCATTTATAACTTCGATTGAAAATTAATGATGATTTAGTAATTTAGTTACTTAATCATTTACTTATGATTTTACAATTTACATTGATTTGACATGATTTAGTTACTCTGGTTAATGGTTAATAGTTCGCCGGAAAATCGCGGTCCGATGCCGCGGCCGTTCCGGCGAACCCTGGTTATATTATAGTTTGAGTAAATTAGCTTACATTTGGTATGTAGTTTGTGTGAATTTTACCCAACCGATGATATTAATAAAGAATCGGTGCGATTTTTATTCTTGTTAACTTTCATAAGTTTTATTGTGCTTGATCTTAATATTACGTAGGACGAGAACTATTGGCCATTAATGCCTCCGTTGCCTTCTTACGGATACGGTAGAGAGCATCCAGGACCAAGATACGGAAGTTTAATCCACGGACAAAATCTCAAAGATGTCGTAATTACAGGTCAGCGTCTCCTAATCATATAGTTCCATTTCGTTCTTTATTTTTCGTGAGATATTGTAATAAATAATTTTAATCCGAGATTCCGATTTCGTTTAACAGGGCACAACGGCACCATTAACGGGCAGGGCCAAACATGGTGGAAAAAGTACCGGCGGAAGCTTCTTAACCACACGAGAGGTCCGCTTGTGCAGATTATGTGGTCTAGTGACGTTGTCATATCCAACGTTACATTACTCGATTCTCCGTTTTGGACACTTCATCCGTACGACTGCAAGAATGTCACGATCAAACACGTCACTATTCTCGCACCTATATTCGGTGCCCCGAATACTGACGGCATTGATCCTGGTAATCTGTAGTTATTTGATCCTACTCGAGTAAATTCGATTGCAATATTTCTTGGATTATACGACTTAAGTAATTGATTTTTTTTTTGGGATGAAATAAATAGATTCGTGTGAGGATGTTGTGATTGAGGACTGTTACATAAGCGTTGGTGACGATGGCATTGCAATAAAGAGCGGTTGGGATCAATACGGGACCGCTTACGGACGGCCTTCGAAGAATATACTCATTCGAAATCTCGTTATTCGTTCGATGGTCAGGTAAGAGTTAAGACTATTACTCCATCCGTCTCTATTTAAGTGTCGGTTTAGAGTTTCAAGACATATTTTGTTGTTCCAACTTTACCCCGACATTAGTGATGGATTAATGAAGTGAAAAAAGAAAAGATGAAAACCCTCATAGGGGCGATTTGGTCAAATAAGGACTTTTTGTTTCCCCGAATCGAGACTATTTAATAATTTTCTTAATTGATGTGCATCTACCTTAAACGGCACTTAAAAAAAAGGGAGGGAGTAATAATTTGATATAACAGTCGTTTTTCACCTTTGCACAAATATCAAGAATTTTAATAAAATGACTAAAATAAGCTTTATGATGATGGATGATGTGATAAGAGAGAGAATAATTAGAGATGAATTAATAAGGGTAAAACGGGAAAAAAATAATTTAAGTCATAAATAATGCGGAAACTTCGTTTTTTTTTAAACAGTGCAGGCATATCGATAGGCAGTGAAATGTCCGGTGGTGTATCGAATGTCACCGTAGAGAATCTCCACGTGTGGAACTCGAGAAGAGGTGTACGGATCAAGACAGCACTCGGCAGAGGAGGGTACATTCGGAACATTGTTTATCGAAACCTGACATTCGATAATGTTCGAGTTGGGATTGTCATAAAAACGGACTACAACGAACATCCGGACAAAGGGTTCGATCCGAAAGCTGCTCCGATAATCGAGGGCGTAAGCTACACTATGGTGCACGGGCAGGGTGTGCGGGTCCCGGTTCGTATACACGGGAGCGAAGAGATTCCTCTGCGGAATATTACTTTTCGAGACATGTCGGTTGGAATAACTTATAAAAAGAAGCATATATTCCAGTGTGCTTTCGTGTGGGGAAGCGTTGTGGGGTCCGTTTTTCCTCCCCCGTGTGATAATCTTGATCGATATGACGAGATCGGGCGTTTGGTGAAACAATCGGCTTTTCGGAATATATCTGATATCGATTATGATTTCTGAAAAATAACTTGTTGTCATTATTATTTTCATTTTAAAATGTTTTCCACGTGCATAAATTAGATGTATAGATGGTCAGTTAATATGTTTGCAGAGTACAGAGTGAAATGTACACAGACAGTTCATCCAACTGAAATGCAATTGAATTATAGAGGGGCTTATAAAGGAATCTTACAGAAATTTTAGAGCCTTTTTGTATTTAGCACTAATGTAATTGATTTTCTTTAATTAACTCCGGTTTTATATAATTTAGGGTAAATTGCAGTCATCCATTGAGGTAAGGTTAAATTATGAAAACACCCTTTATGTTTGGGTAGTTATAATTATCTCCTCAACAATGAATATTCTTACACGATTACCTTTATGGAGTCAAATTTAACAGAATTTTCTAGATTCCGTGGATGTTCGAATGAGGTAAACAGGTACAAATTGAAAAAAAAATTCCACATTATCTAGAAGATTCTACTAAATTTAACACGGTAAAAATGGATGTGTAAGAAGATTCATGCTTGAGAGAGATATGATTGTAATTACAAAAATATGATGGGGGGTTTTGTAATTTGACATTACATAAAAAGGTGAGGGTAACTTACCAAATAATTTAATAGGGGCAAATTGCTATAGGTCCCTCTATATTATAATTTATGTGTGTAAATCAAGTCAAAATTTAATGTTTTAATAAATTAATAATATTTATTATGACAAAAATACCCTTAATTAAATTAAATCAAATCTCCAAAAATCTCTCTATCATAACAAATTCCCAAACATCTCTCTTCCAAATATTAACTTAAACAAATAAATTAACTCATAAAAAAAATATACAATTTATTTTACAAACTCATATTCTAAAAACGTCACCCCACCACCGCCTATGATCCGGGAATTGCGACGTCTCCGCGAACTGCAAATAGCAAACTGAAAATTATAATTTACATTATTAAATTGCAAACAACAAAATACCTATGATTTCGCCAAATGCAAACGACAAACTGAAAAAACAAAATTCATAATTTGTATTACTAAATTACAAACAAAAAATTACCTATGACTTCGCCAAATGCAAACAGCAAACTGAAGAAAAACATTCAGCAAAACTTGCGTTATTGAATTGCAAGCAATAAACTACCTATGACTTGGCCAAATGCAAACATCAAACTGAAAAAAAAAATTAGCATCATTAAAAACATCAACAAAAAAATTGTTTATAGAACAATTTGCAAACAACAAAAATATTAAACAAAATGTTTGTAAAATGTAACTTAAGACATACCTTGCAAATTGTAAACCAGAGGAATCGAATCTCAACATCAAACGCAATTCTTCAAACAACGAACGAAATTAAACCAACTGCAAACGGAAATTGCTAACAACAAACGATGAGAGGTTCTACATACGGAAAACACAATGCGAATTTGGCTAGGATTTTGGATTTCTGATTTTTTTTTAGAGGATGTTTGTCGTCCTCTTTAATTCTTTCACAAAGAAATCCTCTCATAACCTAAAAAGATCCTTGTTTTTTTCATCTCTATAATATTTCGTCATTAAAAAAAAAGAAAACGAAAAAGAAAAAAAAAAAGAGAGCACGAGCGAGAAAGAGGCGTGAGAATTGAGATGCAGAAGGAGAGAGATATGAAGAATTATATAGGGGAAAAGTAACGTGAGATTGGAGAGAGAGAGGATATATAAGATTTGTTTTCTTATTAATTGAGGGCGTTATGGTTTATACTTTATATACTAATAATTTTAATTTATTTATATTAATTTATTTGGTTAAAGGACCTATGCCTATATTCATCTAACAACTAGTATATAAGTTCAAAATGTGTAGCAAATTTCCGCAATTTAATATCACTTATTACGTTCTGCTGCCCCTACGTGGCAGTCACGAGAAAATAGCCGTTGCAATAGCCAACGAACAGACGCCACGTATTAGCAGTAGCTCCAAGCGGCAGATTCGTGGCTTCATCAGCCATGACAAATTCGGACCACGTGTTAGGCAGCAGAACGTGCACCAGCCGCTTTTGGACGTGTGTGGGGCCCCCTCCTTTTCCTTGGTCTTACTTTATTCTTTTTTTTTTTTCTTTTCTTTTTTATTAATTAATGATAATAATATTATAATTTACACGTAACCTTCCCGCTAAATATATATTTTCCTCCTTCGGCAGTTTCGTAATCTGCCTGCATTTTTTCGCAATAAATTGTCAACACGCTTTTGACACGTTTTGTTTAGGTAACTAGATGTCTAGATCCAATGCATATAATATGCCTATACACCCTAATTCGTATTAATTAGTTCGAGTTTAGAAAGATTAATGCATGGGTTACGATAAAATTAGGCTCGAGCTCGAGTTCACGTACTCGAACTTTTCCGATATAATCGAGATCGAGTCAATCATTAGTTTTTAATAAGTTCAAGAAACAGCACGCAAGCTTTTTTATTGTTTACTTTATTTTTAATGTAAATGTATCTAGCTAATGTAAAATAAAAAAGGGTAAATTATAAAAAAAACCTCCTAAGATAGGGTCAATTTACGAAAAACTCTTCTTGTTTGGATAATTACATCTACCCTTCTTAATTATGATTTTTTCTTACACTTCCACTCTTATGGGTCAAATACAACATAATCATCTAGATTTTGTGGAATATGCTCTAGTTTCTACTCGTTTTGTGTAAAAATACAGTTTTTGATGCACCACAATCTGATATATACAAGCCAAAAAACACTATTATGATCATCTTGCTTCAGAATGTAGAGTTCGAATGAGATAAAATGGGTACAAAAGTGATAAATTTTCATATAATCTCGAAGATTCCATTAAATTTGAGGAGTTGAGGGGTGGTTGTAATTATCTAAACAAGATGGGGTTTTCGTAATTTGACTATTCTTCAAGTCTTATTTTAATTTACCCAATAATAAAATACATAATAAAGTACATGTAATTTAAGTTAACGAGTCAACGCCATTGTTTCTGAGCTTATGAGTCTCGATAAATGATTTTCACGTGACATGTTAATGAATGGTTAATACATCTGGTTTTATACACACCTGATATTCACTGTGTTATGTCACGTGAGAAGCACGTGAGTTTAAGTTGCTTTTGCTTACTCATCTAGCCTAGTCAGCAGTGTAGTTCTTTACACTTGAGCTGATTTGATTGGTGGATGAAATGGACGGCTCTGGTGAGTTACTTGGAGAATAAGTTCTATATATATATATAGAACAGAGGCAGCAGAAGCAAGAGGAGAGGCAATACAGGGGATACACATTGTGAGAGAGAGAGAAACACTTGTGAGAGGGGTTTTAGGGTTTCTGGCAGATCTCATGCTTGTTCATAGCTGAGATTATCATCTCTTGGTTTTGTATCTGTATTGATCGTGTTATATAGTGAATTGGAGCTTGTATTGCTCCCGGGGATGTAGATCTCACACTGAGATTGAACCTCGTAAATTCTCTTGTTCTTCTTTACTGTTTTGAAAGCTGCATGAGTGTGTGTTCGATGTGTGCGTGTTTAATTCTAAACAACGGAATCAAAGCTTCATAAAATCATAACAAGTGGTGCGGTGAGCGCGGATCTAAGTGAAGCTGGTTAAATCCAATCAACACAAAACCAGATCAGCAGCTGAAAATTGTAAGAGGTACACTCCTGACTTAGATCTACTGGAGATGAGTAATTCTAAGTTTGAATTTGAAAAATTCAATGGTGATAATGATTTTACTCTCTGGAGAATTAAGATGAAAGCATTATTGGTTCATCAAGGACTTTCTGCTGCCCTAGATGCAAAATTATTATCTGATTTAGATGATAAGAAGACAGTGCCAGAGATACAGTCTAAAGCACATAGTGCACTGATTTTAAGTCTAGGTGATGAAGTTCTTCGTGAAGTCTCTGAAGAAACAACTGCTCTAGCTATATGGGAAAAACTTGAGTCTATATACATGAAGAAATCACTAGCTAACAGGTTGTATCTGAAGAAGAAACTCTATACTCTTCAAATGGAGTCAGGGCAGGAAGTCAGAAAACACCTAGATGAGTATAATAGGATTATCCTAAACCTGCATGCTGTTGGAGTCAAAATTGAAGAGGAGGATCAGGCTATTATCCTATTAAGCTCACTTCCAAAGGATTATGAGCACATTGTAGATACTATGCTTTATGGAAAAGATACCCTTACAATGACAGAGGTAAAATCTGTGCTAAATTCAAAAGAGCTTCAGAAGAAAAATGAATCAAGCTCTAATGGAAGTGGTGAAGGACTTAATGTAAGAGGAAGGCCTGACAAGAAGGAGTTTAAGAAGAATAGAGGAAAGTCCAGATCTAAGTCAAGACCACATGGAAAGGACACCAGAAGATGTCATAAGTGCAAGAAGGAAGGGCATATTAGAAGATTCTGCCCTGAGAGAACTCAGAAGTATAAGAGTGACTCAAACCAAGGTGATAAAGGAGATGCATCCATTGCATCAGATGGATATGACTCTGCTGAGGTGTTGTTTGCATCATACTCTGATTCACCTGAGGCACTGGTAGCATCACACCTCAATTCTGCTGGAGAGTGGGTGTTGGACTCTGGATGTTCATTCCATATGACCCCTAACAGGGAGTGGTTTCAAGAGCTCAAGGAATCTGAAAAAGGTATGGTGCTTTTGGGAGATGATAAAGCATGCAAAATTCTTGGGATTGGGGCTGTTAATCTGAAACTAGCCTCTGGACAGGAGAAACAAGTAAATGGAATGAGATATGTTCCTGCTCTTAAGAGGAATCTCATCTCAATTGGTATGCTTGATCAAGCAGGATATGAGATGAGAGCAAAAAATGGAATCATGAGGATATTGAAGGGTGCTCTAGTGGTCATGAAGGGCTTGCTGAGAAATGGTATTTACATATTAGATGGAACCACAGCTGTTGAAACAGCAAATGTAGTAGTACAAGACAAAACCTCACTATGGCACAGAAGGCTGGCACACATGAGTGAAAGAGGACTCCAAGAACTGGTGAAACAGAAACTTCTTGAAGCAAATGACATTGAAGAACTAAAGTTCTGTGAGAACTGTGTTCTTGGAAAAGCCAAGAGAGTAAAATTTGGGAAATCTCAACACTCAACTCATGACAATCTGAGCTATATACACTCAGATATGTGGGGTCCTGCAAGAACTGAGACCATGGGAGGTTGCAGATACTTCTTGACTTTAATTGATGATAGGTCAAGGAAGCTGTGGGTTCACATCTTAAAGACAAAGGATGA